ATAAATTCTTTTATTCTCTTTATCTCTCCTCTCTTCTTCTCACACCCTTTCTCTCTCCTCTTCTTTCTCTCCTCCTATGCGACCAATACCTACTACAGCGACACACACTAGGCCGTCATCGTTTTCGACCATGACTCGGTCTTTGACCTCAGTAATCCCATCTCTCTCTCTCTCTCTTTTCGCTTTCACTTTCTCTTTTTCAATCTTTGGAGAGTTACTGGTTTTTGATTCTGGAACAATATTGCTTTAGAAAATAATTAATTACTTGATTAAGGTAGGCTTTGATTTAAGCTCGTCATAATTATCGTTCTTAATAGATTGCATTTGGGAACCTTAATGTAAAAAATACTATTAAATTGTGTTATAGTGATGACCTTCTGTTGAACATTAAATGATATGAATACATTTCATTTGTAGAGAGAATTCTTTCAGAACACCCAATATGCTTCCCGAAAATTGGGCAGATACAGATTCGCACGATAAAGGTACACTGATTGATCGACTTCTGCTCAAGACATGGTTGTTGTCTTGTTTACTATATTATTTTGCTGACAAAAGTAATGTTTTTTTTGGTAGCTAAAGCGCAAGGGGTACTACTATCATCTATCAGATTCCATGTTTATGAGTAGTGCCTTTAATGGTTTCAACAAGCGCTGGTTTCTTAATGTTGATGCTTCTGGATGGAGAGTGTGGACAAAATGAGCAATTGTTTTCTCATGGTTCTCCTCACCAGTTGGCCTGTCTTGACAGTGCAAATAATGCTTTAATTGATCCCGTTGATAATGCTGTGATTCTTCCATCCAAAAGGGTGTCTGGTCTCGACAAGTCTCTGTTGCTGCAATTGGAGAACAAACAGAATCAGAATAAAGAAATTACTATTATTAGCCCGTGTGTTTCAGAACATATAGGAAAAGAAGCTGTCGAAAGTTTGGAGGTAGGAGTTAAATCGTCTGGCAATAATGACACTGGAATTCCATTAACCGGTTCAGTTCCTGAGACACTGGACCATTGTTATGTAAATCATGAAGTTCCAAGTTTAAATATTGAATGTGAGGTAGATGGATCTGGTAAAGGCACTACAGATGATTGTAACGGTTGCAAGGAAGATCCTTCAATAGCTGAGCCAATTACAAAGAAAAAGCGAAAGAGTAAAAGGCAAAAAGAGGACTCAGTGCGAGATGATAATTCAAAAGATAATTGTTAACAATGAATCTTTTTCCTTTTGATGTTTAAATTCTTCTGTTCCTCATGTGTATATTAGAAACATATTCTTTATAGATAAATTACATCAAGTTCTGTAACTTCGTATGTTATTTTTGGCAGCCAATCATTGCTGGAGATGGGCACAAAGGACTTGACTTTTGTCAAACTAAACCAATTAAGGAAAACTGAAGGAATATTAGTTTATCCTTTCGCAATCAGTTTCAGAACATTTAAAATAAAGCAATTGCAAAAAATCGAAGAAGATTTAAAACAAAAGTGGACGGATAGCCATTTTACTTAAAAAAAAAATGGACGGATAGCCAGTACAATCAAAATCACAAGCATGGATATAGAGAGATTAGAAGGATATGGACGGATGCAGAGGTGGTAACTTTGATGGAAGATAATTTAAAATAGGTATAGTGATTGGTGGCAGAAGAAGAGAGAGAGGGTACGAGAGGAAGTGAGGAGAAAGAAAGGAGAAAAAATGGTTTATTTTATCAGTTCGTTTTTTCTGCAGTTACTGCAGATAAGTTATCTGCAGTAACCCTATACGACGTCGTTTTGGGGCGGAAATCATGGTGTTTTTGTAATTTTAATTTATTTCAGGATTATAATAGTCTTTATATTTATAATTTTTTAAGATTTTAATATCAAAACGACATCGTTTTGGGAATAAATGTAGATAACTTATCTGCATTAACTGCAAAAATATTTTTCCCTTATTTTATATCATAAATATCGACCATTAAATGAGATTGTAATTGAATAGTAGGCAAAATAAAAGTGGGTTTTTCTTAACATATATATTTAATTGATTTAATAATATAGTTTGAGGAGGTTAATTATTTCAATTAAGAGTCGAGGGTGGTTTTTTAAGGAGAGGTCTATGTATAGGGTAGTAAATTGTAATTTAGCCTAAAATGAATGTGCTATTAAATATCGGTAGATGTAGTTTAGTATTCATATCCCTTAGTAAGGTGTTCATTGGTACGATCATAATTGTATTTTTTAATGAGTTTTGATAATTGAATTGATGGTATAAATAAAGTGCTTGGTGTTTGTCATTTTAAATAATATAAGTTATGTCATTTTAGGAGAGAGATAGACACAGAAAATAGAAATCATGGGAGAGAGAAAGTGAGATTTTTTTTTTAATTTAAAATTTAAATAAAAAATTTATTCTGTGTCTATCTCTCTCTTAAAATGACATAATTTTATGTCATTTAAAATGACAAACACTTTTTCCATAAATTAATTTAAAAATTAAACCGAATAAAAAAATAATAATGAGATAAATTAATTCAAAATTAGTTCAAACCTTCTTCGAATTAAATCAGAACTAATTTGTATATTCGAATTGACTCTGATTCAGTCCAAAATCAATTATAAATCATAATATAATTTTGAAATATGAACTGATTTTGTATCGGTCCTGAACATATTTAATAAAAAAAGACTCATATTAAATCAAATCATTTAATTCTTTTTTATTTTGGTTTGATTTAAGAAAAAATCAATTCGGGTCAAACTAGAGTCGAACAAAAGGGAGTTAGGGTGAGGCGTCGCCCCCCTAAATTTTGAAAAAAAAAATAGTTAGAAGTACTCATTTGGGAGACTGGAAGAGTATATATGGGCATAAATAGTGATGATTGGTTTGAAGACTAATGTGTGCTTTGGCTGTTTTTAATAAATAGTTATTTAAACAGTGATGATCAAACTAATGAGCCTTAAAGCTGACAAAAAATATTCACCATCCAATGGTTCTGCACCTCCAAGTTTCTCAATGCTTTGGTCTTAAACTTGTCTGCAACAATTCCCACACATCTCTGCACAACACTTCCACTAACACCCGTCATCGTCTCCCACAATATCTCCTCTACATACTTGGATGACAACACTCCCCCACTAGTAAACACAGCCTTTTGGAACACAGTAGTCCTATTTGAAAGATTTACTGAGAACTTCACCAAATCATCTCCTCCCACACAACACCAATCCTTGCTCTTCCAACCATCGCACCCCACTTGGAAAAATAACGAATCTCTTTCTAGCTTCTGACTCAACCTTGGCCAAACCGAACCTATCCTTAAGTCTAGAACATGATATCCCACGTCTCAAGGTTGTTGCTGGCAAACCTAGTTGGGTAAGAAAGGCTTGAAGCTTGAGGTGTTCAAGGGTGGAGAGAGGCACATACCCACATGACTCATAGAACCAATCTGCTAGCAGTTCAACAACAGAGCCAACCAGTTCCTTATTCATAGCAATTGATGAAGAATTCTAGGGACTCTTAAGCTTCTTCACACTGTCTTCAAAAATAGCCAAAGCACATAAATTAGAATGTCTTTGTATATGCTTAAAAGATGATTGATTTGAGACTTTTGATTATTTTTGTATGTATGGGCATGCTCCACATACTTGTATAATATTCCACATAATGAATTAATAAGGCTGCTAATAAAATGCCCTATGGCAGAGAAATAGAATCCAAATATCTTTTCTAAGGCATGAAAATTTTAATGAGATCCCATGGCATATAATTTGTCCTGACATTCTTGGAAACAAATAGAGCATAAGAAATGATTCCAAAAAATATTTTTTTAATAACATAAATGCAATTACTAATGTGTGAGGTAAACAACTAAATTAAAATAAATAGATAAAGAATTATTGATTAGAAGGGATCAATGTACAATAGATTTAATATTTGATTTTCGTATGCCACAGAAAAAAATTCTGAATCAGCGATTGGGTCAAACCATGTACATCTTGTATGTATGGATGAACTTTGAGTTTTCATAACGTTGGATGTATAATGTAATTATCCCATGAAATATAATTACTTTCCTATCCTATTTAGAGTTATATATAAACACATTGCTTCTATTGAAAATTTGATGATGAATGGAATAAGAATATAGTAACATTAACCTACTTTTCAAAAATTCATACTTTGATCTTTTTTCATGTTTTTTCTCTTATTTTTTACGTGTTCCTTTTCCGCCATTTTATAAAAGAATAATATTAATCATTATACTTTTGAATGATATGGATGAAATAGAATAAGTCTGACAATTTATCTGATTTTATTTCATTTAATATTGTTTTCATTTATTTTTTAATAAACAATTTCATTTACTTGTATAAAATATCATAAAAATATTTTTTAAATTAATACAAATAAATTATCTGCATTTACTTTCAAAATGACGTAGTTTTGGAATTAAAAATATATAATTATAAATATTATAATAACACTGAAATAAATTAAAATTATAAAAATATCATAATTTCCGTCCCAAAATGACATCATATTAGACTCAGTGCAGATAACTTATATGCAGTAACTGCAGAAAACGAACCCATAAAATATCTAAAAAATAAGAGTAAATATTCTTTTTGATCCCTAACAAAAATCATGGTTCTCACTTTAGTCCCCTACAAAAATAAATTAGTCAGTTAGTTCCTAACAAATTTAAGGTGGACCCATTTTACTCCTTTTGAGAGATTAATATGGATTTTATGGATTTTTTTTGAATTTGTAAGGGACCACGATTTCAACTAAATGGGTCCACTTTAAATTTGTTAAGGACTAATTAACTAATTTATTTTTGTGAAGGACTAAAGTGGAGACCGTATTTTGTGTTACGACTAAAAATGTATTTACTTAAAAAATAACATAGTGGACTTATTTTTATTTTCGTCTTTGCATTCAAAAAAATGATTTTGTTTTTCTTATTAAGCATTAATTTTTATGACAACTTAATCACGTAGTTGATGTGGATTAAATCTGGACCAAAAAATTGCTCCTACGTTGGTGTTGTGAGGATCTCCTTGTTTGAGAAAACCTCATCCATGGCTTCTCTTCGTCTTCTTGCGAACAGTGTCTCAACCTTCTCTCATCAACCCACTTCTTCCGATTCCAAGTTTCGAAATCTCCGAACTCCAAAGCTTCCAACTTTGAAACCCAAAAAAAAACACAGCTCAAGGGTCCTTAACGTTGGTGCTGATGTGGGTTTCACTTCTCCTTCTCCTTCTCCTCCCACAAGCTCCGATGAAAAAATCCGTGAGATTCTTCGCAATCGTGACTATGACAAGAAATTCGGTTTCAACATCGACATCGATTCCTTCTCAATTCCCAAAGGTCTCTCCAAAGAGACCATAAAGTTGATATCTTCCTTGAAAGAGGAACCCCTTTGGATGCTTGAGTTTAGGTTGAGTGCTTTTGAAAAATTCTTGAGCATGGAGGAACCTAATTGGTCAGACAACACATACCCATCAATTGATTTTCAAGATATGTGCTATTACTCTGCACCAAAGAAGAAACCCACCTTGAATTCCCTTGATGATGCTGACCCTGAACTCCTTATGTACTTTGATAAATTGGGTGTCCCTCTGAATGAGAGGAACCGTTTGGCTAATGTTGCAGTGGATGCTGTTCTTGACAGTGTTTCCATTGCTACAACTCATAGGAAGGCTTTGGAGAAAGCTGGTGTTATCTTTTGTTCAATATCTGAGGCTATTAGGGAGTACCCTGATTTGGTTAGAAAGTACTTGGGGAGAGTTGTGCCTAGTGGGGATAACTATTTTGCAGCTTTGAATTCAGCAGTTTTTAGTGATGGATCCTTTTGTTACATTCCTAAGGATACTAAGTGCCCTATGCAGATTTCAACTTACTTTAGGATCAATGCTTTGGAGACTGGGCAGTTTGAGAGGACTTTGATTGTCGCAGATGATAGGAGTTTTGTGGAGTATTTGGAGGGATGTACTGCACCTTCTTATGATAGGAACCAGCTTCATGCTGCTGTTGTGGAATTGTATTGTGCTGAAGGTGCAGAAATTAAGTACTCCACTGTGCAGAATTGGTATGCTGGTGATGAGGATGGGAATGGAGGGATATACAATTTTGTCACAAAGAGAGGACTTTGTGCTGGGGCACACTCTAAGATATCATGGACACAAGTGGAGACAGGATCAGCTATTACTTGGAAATATCCCAGTGTTGTTTTGGAGGGAGATGATACTGTTGGGGAGTTTTATTCGGTTGCTTTGACTAATAACTATCAACAAGCGGATACAGGTACAAAGATGATTCACAAGGGGAAGAACACAAAGAGTAGGATTATCTCCAAGGGTATATCAGTTGGACACTCAAGGAACTGTTATAGAGGGCTTGTTCAGGTTCAATCAAAGGCAGAGAATGCTAGAAACTCCTCTCAGTGTGACTCAATGCTTATTGGTGATAAAGCAGCTGCCAATACATATCCTTACATCCAGGTAAGTTCTTTCTTTTTTATTTATTTAATAAATTTTTACTCTGCAAAAAATTTGAGATTTCTGTTTATGCTTGTTTCAGTATGTGGCAGTCTTAATAATTTTGGTATATAGGCTGTTAAATAAGTTTGAGCTTTGATATTAGAAAGTGATGAGAAAGTGAGAGAAAAAGCTAGAAAGTGGAGACGAGAAATCTGAGAGTGAAGACATGTAAATTTGAGAATGAATTCACAATACAAAGGTTACACAGGGTTTCAATATATATAGAAGACAGATCTGACTCATCACTGAGTCTGCACTACTAACAGACCTAACAAACTCTGAAACAGAAAGCTAACAGTAAGGGAAAATATTCTGTAACGCCAAGCACACAGTAAACTCTACTGATATGAATACAACAGCATGGAAGTACATAATACACTCTAATACACCCCCTCAAACTCAGGTGGTTGGGCATAGTCAAGCACCCTGAGTTTGTGCCAAAGATTAGCAAACCGATCAGAAGAGAGGGGCTTGGTTAAGGTATTTGCAATCTGATCTACTGCTGGAAGATGCAAGACTATGAGTTCTTTAGCCAGAACGCGCTCACGAATAAAAAAAGATATCTAACTCCATGTGCTTTGTCCTATCATGGAGCACTGGATTATGACTTATGAGATAGAGCCACGGTGCTAAGGTTGTCACAGAATCTTGGAAGTGGTGAAAGGAACATGAAGTTCTTTAAGAAGTGATTGCACCCAAAGAATCTCAGCACTAGTGAGAGCCAAGCTTCTGTATTCTGCTTCAGTGGTTGACCGAGCTTCCAATGTTTGTTTCTTGGACCACCGAGATATTAAATTTGGTCCAAAGAAGAGGCAAGCACCAGAAGTGGAACTCCTATCATCTGGGTCACTTGCCCAGTCTGCATCACAATAGCCAGTGAGAGAAAAGGGGAGACTGGAAGAGGCTGGTTGAAGTGATAGGCCAAAGGTGATTGTCCCTTTTAAGTATCTAAGAATACGCTTTACTATCTGCCAATGCTCCTCAAGAGGTTGTCCCATATATTGACATACTTTATTGACTGAGTAAAAGATCTCTGGTCTAGTAATAGGGACATACTGCAATGTCCCCACTATTGACCTATAGTCAGCAAAATAATGAGAGCCATACCTTGTCATCTTGCAACTAGAAGGCATAGGATCTCACATATTAGCCTTTGCAAGAAGATCACCAATGTATTTAGCTTAAGAGAGAAGATGAGCTCCACTGGAACACCTGATTACCTCAACACCCAAGAAGTACTCTAAGTCTCCTAGATCCTTGAGAGCAAAAGTAGAATGCAGTTGGGTGATTAGAGTATTAATATATTCAGAATCTGTACAGGTGACAATAATATCGTCAACATACACCAACATATAGACACACCTTGCCTTATCTCTTAGAATGAACAAAGAGGAGTCACACTTACTGGATTGAAAACCAAGTGAGATCAATGAGTGCTTTAACCTGTCAAACCAGGCTCTAGGGGCCTGTTTAAGGCCATAAAGAGCCTTGTGGAGTTTACATACCAACGACATGTCAGCTGCCTCAAATCCGTGAGGTTGGGACATGTATACTTCTTCCTCTAACAGCCCTTTGAGGAAGGCATTATTATATCTAATTGACAAAGTTTCCAGCCATATGTAAGAGCTAGAGTCAGCACCACCCAAACTGTAACAGGCTTGACAACTTGTGAGAAAGTTTCATTGTAATCAAACCCATGTTCTTAATGAAATCCTTTAGCTACAAGCCTAGCCTTGTATTTATTAACAGTTGCATTAGTATTCTCTTTCACCTTGAAGACCCACTTGCATCCAATAGCTTTCCAGTGAGCAGGTAAAGAAACAAGGGATCATATCCCATTAGATAATAAAGCATCATATTCAGCTTGCATAGCTTCAAGCCACTTTGGACTGGCCAAGGCTTGTTTAACTGAAGTTGGTTCAAGATGAGTAACCAAAGCCAAGGGTCTATGGGCAGCTTTAGACCTGGTGACAATAGAGCGAGTAGGAGAGGATGAGCTTAGACTCTCGGATGGAACATAGGCATATTGAGAAGAAGAGGAAGTTGGACTATAGGAAGAAGTGTCACTAGGAATAGGAGAATGAGAGACAGAAATATTCTGAGAAGAAGATTCTGAAGCACTAACAGGAGAACCAAGGAAATTTGGAGGAAGTCAGAACTATAATTTCTTGGATGTTCTATTACAGGATATTAGTATTTCTTAAACAGCTGAATCGTGCTATCTCTTTCAAGAGGTTCTCCTGGTTCTGATCTTCCCATTTTCCATTTTCCTTTGGCTAATAGGAGCTTCTTCAAAAGTAGCTTTAGTGTTAAGGTAGCTTCAATGTGTTAGGTCTCCTGTTGCTGGTTGAAACTTGAAAGAGTTCATCAGTAATAGGGCAAGGAGTTAGTTCTCCTCTATTTCAAAAGTACTATTTTTGTTCAGTTGATTTCCCTGACTTAGTACCCATTCCTTCCCCCTTTTTCTATATTTTTCCTGAAAACCAGAACTTGCAATGAAACTTTTATTTTGCTAATTAGATCATAATTATTTTGCAGGTGAAGAATCCTACGGCAAGAATTGAACACGAAGCTAGTACATCCAAAATTGGTGAAGATCAATTGTTTTACTTTCAACAAAGGGGAATAAACTATGAAAGAGCCATGGCTGCTATGATCTCTGGGTTTTGCCGTGATGTCTTCAATGAGCTTCCAGATGAATTTGGCTCTGAGGTGAACCAACTCATGAGCTTGAAGTTAGAGGGGTCTGTAGGTTAAACAGCTTGTGATGCATCAGTTTGTAAGTTATTGTGTTGTAACTTGTTAAGCTGAGTGGTATTTGCAATTGTAGTCTTAAAAAAAAGATTTCAAACTGTGTTAGGAAGGACATATACATGATGTATATATCTCTATATATATTTTCTTCAACTGCATTGAATAAGTGTCATGAATAGTGATGAGTTCTCAACTGGAATGTATTTTCACTGCGAAAATAGAATTTAATACGTCCTTAATTTTAAATAATGTAGTGTTTCGTCAGATTCTGTTGAGAAGTATTCTGAATGAAAATTGATAAAAAGGTCATGGGAAATGTTATGTTGAATTGACAATAATCTAAACCTGTTGCTATCAAATACCAAATAATCAGGCTTACCGGTTTCCAGCTTTATCACATTTCTATTGGTGCATTCCTCTCTCTCTGTGTGTGTGTGTGTGTGTGTGTTGAAATTTGTAACAATAAATCCATTAAGGCATGGTGCTATTAGGATAATTCTTTTTAATTCCATTTCCACTTCTTAAATATAATCAATGACAGCTACAGATGGTACCATATTGGTTTCATTAGTAGCATGTTATTTTAAGTTATGGGAATGTTGTTTCCTCTGCAACAGTGTGAAGCCTGGAAATGCTTTCACATGAGAAAGGAATAACCATGATCCAAGATTATTATTTGGGAAAGTGCCATTGTAGACATGCTTTCGGCATTTGCGTCCAACATACTGAAAACATTTGAGCATAAATACTGAGGTCTTTTGTAGCAACCCACTTATACACAGAAGCACATGCTCCCAATGGCCACACCTACAATATGTGTTTGTTTTTAATTCTACAATATATGTTCCTTCATTTTTGTTATTTTCATTACCACATAATTAGGATTTCTCTTTGTGATTTGATAGTAATTCAGTTACAAACATTTACTATTAAATAGGTGTGCATTTGGAATGAAAAGCAGAGAAGATTATTGACTCATTTCTCCCTTGTGTCTCCTCTTTCCTCTCTTGCTCTTCTCCTCTTTTCAGCAATTCTCTTTCCTGTAGCACTGCTACATCTTTGGTACATTAGTCAAACATCAATATACAAAAAACCCGGGCTTTTGCAGGGATATACATTGTCACAACGAAGATAGTTAAAATCGAGATTTTACATAAAATTAGAAAAGGGATAAAAAATCATAAAACGTAAAATCGTAACGTAAAAAGATCGTAGAAAATCGTAAAAGCGTTTAGAATATTAGTAAAATCGTTTTGATGAAAAAAAATCATAAAATCGTAATGATAAATCGAGATTTTAACAATCATGGTCACAAATACACATCTATCTCCATTTTTTCCTATAGAGGCAATAAAATGGGGTGTAACAGTGACAATTTTAAAAACTGTACATCGTTTTGGCATTTACTAATAACCCACGACAGGAATAGCAATTAGAAGAGCATTCAAGGTTGTTGTGTATATATGATAGGATCATGTTGGGAAGCAAATACGAATTAGCAAAATGACACTTTTTATTAATTTCCAACACTTTAGACATCACAAGTGGGGTTTTTCCCCCTCCCCTTACTACTACAGGCGTACAATTTTAGGATGTAGGTACTGTTCCACTGTGAGAGGTTTTGGACCACCAAACCAATCAATTAAAAATACATTTCCAATTTCTAATTTGAAGACTTGAAAGTTGTGATCCTTAGGCCAGCCTGTTAAACATCATAAGAACAAAAAGGAATGAATCAGATTCTAGCAACCGATGTGTATATAAAGAGCAAGGCATGACAAGGGAAAGTATAAATGCTTCTAATTCATTGCTTTTTGGGCAATTACCCTTCATCTCTGAATGTTTGGAAAACAAGGCATTTCTAGCATATTCGGCTTCCTTGAACTTTTCATCAACCAATTTCAGCTGAAACGCAAAGGAAGAGTTGTCAAATCCCAAGAATTATTATCTGCGTAAACCAAAAGCAGTTTCTTTATGATTTTCCCTTTGAAGAATGATCCGTTTACAAATTTTTTTTTACAAATTACACTAAGTATGACCGGTCATACACTTTGAAGTATGACCGGTCATACTTAGTGTAGTTTGTAAATAAAAAGTTTGTAAATATAACCTTTCCCTTTCCCTTTTCTTGAATAAGTATTCTAAAGAAGAACTAACTAAACAAATTGGAACTAACAATCCATAAATAATAGACTTCTAATTCCATAAAAGTTTGTAAATATAACCTTCCCCTTTCCCTTTTCTTGAATAAGTATTCTAAAGAAGAACTAACTAAACAAATTGGAACTAACGGATCCATAAATAATAGACTTCTAATTCCATAAAATTTGAACTATGTCACCATTTTTTTTCTGATATGGTTATCAAGGTACTTTCACCAAACAAAACAAAATTTACACCTATATGCAGGAAATTTGTGGTGAGATCTGAATCAAGATATGCAAAAGTGCTTCACAAACCTGTCTTCTTGTTGTCATCTTAACATTTCAATGATAATTTAAAACATTAAATAAATTGGATTAGGATCATTTTACACTAGTGATAAGTTACATTTTCAATTTTGGCCGTTGATCTCACTTATATCTAATGGCTCTAATTTTTAATTATGTAAGTCATTGGATGCAAGTGGATCAATAACTGAGAACAAGGCTACCCTAAATAAATTATATTTAATAACGATTCATTTTTCCTGCATATAAATCATACTTTTAATGCATAATCATATTCAACAGAATTCATTTTTTCAGTCACCTTTCCTGTTAATGTAATTTTTGAACAAGTAGGATTCTCTGGGTCTATCTTGCCACAGGTCCCAAGAGGGTATTCACTGACTGTGAATGAAGCTCTTTGGTCTTTCAATGCATTTCTCGCCGTTGGATCTAGACTTGTCAAGTAAAAGTATGGGATGCCACCTCCTTTGTTAGGTAGTCCATCACTAAAGGATACCACATTCCTGCATATAGATAATATAACTTAAGACTACTTTGGGAAATAAAGGTTAGAGGAAACTTAAGATTACAGTTATGACATAAGATAATTCACAGAAAGCCCTTTTTTTATTTTATCTAAGCTTAAAACCATGGACATCAAGAAGTGTATAAAATATTTGTAGAATTTATGTACAGCACATAAATTAATTCAGAAGGCTGGTTGCATTAAAAGTTAAAGGAATAGCTAAAGAAAAGAATGAGATTAACACTATCTTGATAAAATTCCTATTTTATTGACCTGAACCATTATGCATCACTCATCAGCATACAACACAAAACCAAATAAATACAAAACCAAATAAATAAAGGGCGTTATTAATTTCTTCTTATTGGAGAGAAGTTACATCCACGTGCTTCTCAGGATACGGTTTCGTATCTTGAGATTTTTTTTTTCCGTATCCTGAAAAGCACATGACTGCAACAGATAATTTCTATTTCCTACGGCTGAAGAGTAACATTCCCCTAAATAAAACCCTTTTCCAATAAACAGTAAACCATAGCCATGACTGATTCACTTTGAACTTTGAAGAAAGGAGTTGTATTTTGATTCAGCTTGAACACACCTTCATAGCACAAAATATCAAATTATAAGAGGAGGAAATACTTACCCAAAGGGTGCTCCATCCAAATCAGCAGAGACAGTACTGCAAAGAAACAAAGAAATGAAGAGTTCAGCTACATGGTTTGAGTTTTCCAACAAGATAAATCAAATAAAGAGAACTGAATATAAATTATAATAACAAAGTTGGCAATTTTGTATTCTTTCATTATGTAACATGTGAAGAATTTGGACTCTCATGACCACTTTTATAATCCTTAACCGGATTATAATCAATTCACCAAAATAAAAAAAAAACAAAATAAAAACTTAGCCAATCATAAAGAAAGCATCAACATGATAAAAAAACCAAATCGAAGAACAAAGAAAAAAAAAAAAAACTCAGGTAGAGAGAGTCTACCTCAAGACACCCCAGGAATTCTGAGAGATCAACCAACGAGCTGTGGCAGCAGCATCATTTGGGTCAGGTTTTGTTTGGATTGACAGTATTCTGCCATGTACTACAGAATCCTGGGAACTCACCGACAACAACACCAAAGGTACAAAAACATACAAGATTTTCATGATATCCATAACCATGTTTGTGTCTCACAAGCCTCACCACACCACAACGATATTTAAAGGTTCTATTTCTACCAAAAGCTTGAGCTTCACTGTATTAAAATAGTGGCAGAAATTCTTATTCATCTTAAGTAACATACAACAGCTCAAATCATCTCAATTACTCCTTCAATTTCCAGTATTTTTTTTTAATGTGTACCTCTTTTAATGTATTAAACATGCAACTATCTTATATTAGATAAATAATATTATAATAATAATGAAAACTATGGAAAAGTTCAAAAAGCTCACGTGATTTATGTTAGAATGATTTATTTTTCTATTCTTTTTATTTATTTACTTCCATTATAATTTTTCCATCCAAATCCATCTCATTGAAACTTTTATAAATGAAAAAAACTACTCTTATGTAACGTAAAAGTAATTTTATCTTCTATAAACTCATCGAAAATCGTAATATTTTTTTTTTATAAATAGTAAGTCCCACTACATGTGTGTTTACAACATAAAATATCTTCTATCGTGTAACATGAAATTAGAAGATTAAATAAATCCTTTATAAATATGTCTATTTTGTCTCCTGAGCAACAAAAAAGCCACAAATAAAAGCATGTGGGGATAAGTGATTAAAAACAAACAAACACATGAGGTAAGTAATTAATAAAAATGTAAGGGGAAAAACCGCAGGGTTTTTTGAATTTTTCCTTTTTTATTTCCCTACTATAAAAACAATTTGAATAATAATATCGTAATTTTAGAAAAATTATGATATGTTTCTATATTTTTATTTTTAGAATAAATTTTAACTACAAAATTATTCATAATTAAATTTATGCTTATCTATTAGACTTGGGATTACTATAATCTTTACCTTCTTATTTTATTTTCACAAACTAATATATATACATTGTGCATTGATAGATGATTATAAGAAGAGAGAAACAAAGTGTTGCTTCTTCGACACCTAATCAAAGTCCACCGAATGCATTAATGCAAACTCCATTAGCATCAACAGATCCATTGAATTATTGAATTTATTTTTAACACAAAATAGTGTAACCGATTATTAAACTTTTTTAATTGATTATTAAATTTTTTAATCATTATTAAATAGTGTTGATAACTTAGAATATCACATTATTTCCAGTTATATTGTGGTTTTAATCTATTTCGACAATACCTCTATGTGGGTTTTTTTTGACATTTTTGCCCCTCATTAAATAATTGATAATCATTTTGTCCCTTACTTACAACTATTCACCAACCTGCTTCACTTTAATCAATTAACTTCAATATTTAATCGATTAAACAGTGAAAATACGCAAAAAAAAAATTGATCCGTGATTTAATCGATTAAATCACGCCACACATCCTATATTTACACTTCTCGATCTTATTTCAACTATACTCATTTTTTACACCAAAACCTCTCTTGTTTCTCATCTGTAATCCAATCTATCAAGAGACTATTTCATCCCATCATCTCTAAAGCCTTAATCTTATGAAATCATTATCATTGCACTTATATATTCTTTTGTTATTGGAAAAATCCGAACCCAAATCTCCAAAATCAGAACCCTAGTCTCAAATTCGTGTGAAAGATGAGCTGAAGTCCAAACATGTATGTTACCCTATTTTTTTTAATCACTTATCCTTGGTTTTTCTTTTTTTTCTTTTTAATCACTTATCTCTGTATTATTTTTATTGTTTACTGTGTAAAATATGACATATTTGCCAAAATTTTATTGGTGTTAGAGGTGAATTTGGATAAAAAAAGGAAAATGTTTTTACCATGTTACATGAAAAATCTTATCTCATGTTACACACATCAAAATCTGAGTCAATATTTTTTTTTTTTTTTAATTGTGAGACCCACTTAATTATGTTTCTACAAAAAACAATGTTATTTCATGTAACATGGAAAAACATTGAAAAACAAAATTGAAAAGATAAATGATTAAAAAAAAATAAAGAGTTAAATTCTTGAAAAAAACCACTTAAATGCTAAACTGAGGGAGGTTTGAATTCATTGCCATTGCTCTCTCTCTCAAACTAATGACTCAATTTCAACATGAGAACTACCACTTCATCATTCAAACAATTGCTCAATGCTGCCGAAACCATTGGTCATCTCAAACAAACCCAAGCTCTGTTTCTCAAACTCCTCACTCACCAACCACCCCATTACTACCAATACTTCTTGGGTAGTCTGCTACTCCGGGTTCTCCACTTTTCCGGTGAAAAATCCAATCTTTTCTATGCCCACCAACTGTTTGACACAATGCCAAAGTGCCCCAATGGCTTTCTCTGGACCTCCCTTATTCGTGCGTTCCTATTCCATCATACCCATTTGCGCCATTGCATTTCTACCTACGCTAGAATGCACCAAAATGGGGTTTTGCCATCTGGGTTCACCTTCCCCACAGTTCTCACTGCGTGCGGGCGAGTCCCTGCCATGTCTGAAGGAAAACAAGTGCATGCAAGGGTTGTGCAGTCAGGTTTTCTTGGAAACAAGTTTGTGCAAACTGCACTCCTGGACATGTACTCGAAATTCGGCTGTGTTTGTGATGCACGCCACGTGTTTGATGGAATGAATGATAGAGATGTTGTTGCCTGGACGGCGATGATTTGTGGGTATTCCAAGGTGGGAATGATGGTTGATGCACGGTGGCTCTTTGATAACATGGGGGAACGGAATTCTTTTACTTGGACTACTATGGTTGCTGGATATGCAAATTGTGGTGATATGAAAGCTGCCAAGGAATTGTATGATGTCATGAATGACACGGATGAGGTTACATGGATTTCAATGATAGCTGGTTATGGAAAGTTGGGTAACGTGAGTGAAGCCAGAAGAGTATTTGATGGGATACCAGTGCCACAGAATGCATCAACTTGTGCAGCAATGCTGGCTTGTTATGCCCAAAATGGATATGCAAAGGAAGCTATTGACATGTATAATAAAATGAGACAAGCAAAGACTAAAATCACAGAGTTCGCAATGGTGGGTGCTATGTCAGCTTGTGCACAACTTCGGGATATTAATATGTCAAACACATTAACAGACCATCTCGAGGAGGGTTGCTGTGGTAAGTCCTTCCACTATTGGTTTTCTGTAGTTTAATATTTTGCCAATTCTAAATCTTTAGGTTCGAAATGCTTGATACTAACCTTTGTCCTTTTGTTTGGTTGGAACCCATTGTTCTTTTTTCTCAGATAGGACGCATATTGTTTCCAATGCATTGATCCACATGCACTCAAAATGTGGAAATATAAACTTAGCATGGAGGGAATTCGGTACACTTAGATACAGAGATGTATATAATTACAGTGCAATGATCACAGCCTTTGCGGAGCACGGGAAATCACAAGATGCTATAGATCTTTTCATAAAGATGCAAAAGGAAGGATTAAAGCCAAACCAAGTTACATTTGTAGGTGTACTCAATGCATGTAGCTCTTCAGGTCTTATTGAAGAAGGTTGTAGGTTTTTCCAGATTATGACTGAGGTATTCGGTATTGAGCCCTTACCTGAGCACTATGCTTGCATAGTTGATCTCCTTGGGAGGGCTGGGCAACTGGAAAGGGCATACAGTTTCTTAAAGGAGAATGCAACTAGTGCTGATGCAACAACTTGGGGTTCTTTATTAGCAGCTTGCAGGGTTTATGGTGATGTGGAATTGGGTGAGACTGCAGCCAGACATCTCTTTGAGATTGACCCTGAGGATTCTGGAACTTATGTGCTTCTAGCAAACACTTATGCATTGAAGGATAAATGGGAGTGTGTAGAAGAAGTTAAGAAGTTGATGATCAGAAAGGGAATGAAAAAACCTTCAGGGTATAGTTGGATACAAAGAGAGATCAGGGGACCGTATAAAGAAGCCGCACTTTGATTGTTTAATTGCAGCCAGTTAAATATCTTCTTTCAATCAATATAATGATGTTCTCCTGATAACTTTCAGTCCGGGAAAACATTGCAGATCATTCGTTGTTGCCTTTATGTTCAAAGTTTTCAATGATCTCTCCGCCTTGAGGGGATTAGTCGTTGGCTTTCGGCTGAGGGATATCTTTGGAACAATTTCCACAAAAAAAAAGTTTTCAATTATCATGGCATGAGCTTTTAAAATTTCCAGCTTTGTTCCCTGGGCCATGCTTATATATAAGATATCAATATCAATATCATCATGGGTGGATGCTGCAACCATTGAAATCATGAGCCTCCATAAACGTAATGGGTTGGTGATGGTTGCAAACTATAGCTTCTTCCCATGATCACCAAGATGGCAAGGCTCTAAGAAGGCTCTAACATACACATACAAATCAAGTGCTCAAGTGTTGAGCATGGATGTAGTGAGGCAAGCATGCGAGAGTGCCTTCAAAAGCTGGTCACAAGTCACAGACTTCACGTTCAGCAAAACTGAGGGTGAAGATGACACATCTGACATAGTGATATGGTTCAACGGCGGCAACCACGGCTATGGCTATCCCTTTGACGGGCCAAGGATAATGCTGGCTCACATGTTTCCACTGGAAGATGGGAGGCTGCATTATGATACAGATGAGGAGTGGACCACCAATCCAATAGGTTAACATTATGATACAGATGAGGAGTGGACCACCAATCCAATAGGTTAAAAGCATGTTGATTTGTGCAGGAGGGTTCCCCCTTGTGGAAGGAGGAGGTCCTCTCCCAGAAGGTGAAGGACACCAACAGCATGGATATTTCACAGAGGTTGGTTCAGCACATGCATGCAAGAGATGGGAGTGAAGGCTACAAAAGGGAGGACCAAAGCGCGCACGGCACAGGTATCCCTTCACCCATTATTCAATCAACAAGAATACCCAGCCTTTGTTCTCAAACACCAAGTTTCTTTTCTGCAATTTTTAGTTGATTTGTAGAATCATCTTCGTAGGAATTTTTGTTTTGTTATTATATATATATATATATATATATATATATATATATATATATTGTTTTTTTTTTTTTAATCTGTAGACTGTTTTTGTTGTATGCTCATATCCATCACTATAAGTGTAAGCTAAACATTTCCTAGATTGGGGGAACAAATACCCACCGCTAATTAGGCCTGAATTATGCTTGAATTCTGTCTGCTTTGACACGTGTCATTTTTTGCTGACTGTGCAGCCTGACATGGCATATTTCGTTACACTGTGTAGCGAATTACTTGCAAACATATTTCGCTACACAGTGTAGCGAAATACGCCGCGTGGCATTTTGGCAAAATTTACTGTTGGCGTGGCAGTTTGGTAAATTTTTTTGCCAAACGTGGCAAAATGGTCACTCTTCCGATATCTTTTATGATTTTATTACCTAGGTGTTTTGATTTTAATATGTATTATGATGACTGAGTTTGAACTTAATTTTTATTTCCTTTAGTATTTGCACTTAAATTTGTGATGACTTATGTATTGGTGTGATTTGGTTATATATATATTGGATATATTTTATTTTTTTGGTTCGTAGTAAACTCTTACGTTTCGTTTACGTTTCTCGATTTTACGTTTTTGCTTCCCTCTACTGTTTCAGCGTAGACTCTACGTTTTAACAACATTGTGCATATGGGTTGTCTTGTAAGTCCAAATTTATCATAATTAATTCTTATAATTATTAATTTTTTTATGTATTATAAAATAAATATTTATATACTTTAAATCATAATTTATTTTAATTTCTTTAATATAAAGTAATTAATAGGACCACCTCAAACAACGTATATAGACTGGACAATAGGCATATAATTTACTAACTGGGCCAACAAGGAACCGGCCCAGATTGACCCCACTGAATAAGGCTACCAAATCACATTCAAAGGTTAGACCAGATTGCTCTTTAAAGTTTTGCTTCTCTTTAACATGTCTAACAAAGCCAGAGCCCTTTGATCCACCTCATAAGTCTTTCGTGAGGGCAAATAAATAAATAAATTAAAATATTACTTTTTTAATAAATAATTATAAAAAATTATTGTTTTGAACCTAATTACAAATATACTGTACTCATTCACGCCTAAATTAGGTGTGACTTATAAGCAAGTTATTGCTTCAATTGCACCATTTAAATAAGGATACTTAATGTCATATTAAAATATATACTTTCTACCAAGGGTTTGAAAAAAAAATAGTGTACAAAGTTATTGAATCACAATACATATCGTGTATCATTTTAGTCGATTTTTTCGTATTATGTATCGTGAATTATATCGAATTGTAAAATACAGAAATATAATAAAAAATAAGTTTAAAATATACATAAATATGGATTCTTTGAAAGCTTATAGCCTCTGTATGGTTTTCAAAAATAAAATACTTCTTCCTTAGAGATTTAAAGTATTTATTTAATTATTTTCTTTATTAATAAAATTTTTCAAATTAATTTCTGAGTTTAAATCACAAATCAAATATTTAATTTGTTTTCCTTATTAATAATAATTTTTAGATTTTTTTTAATTTAAATCACAAACTAAATCTTTATTTATTTTTTATATTAAAAATAAAAAAATTGATTTTCTTTTTAATTTAAATCACAAACCAAATATTTATTTATTTATTTATATTAAATCACGAAACTAAAACTCAAAGGCTTATGGGTTTAAAAACTCTTATAATACTATTATTGCAAATTCGAACTGTGAGAGATAAAATATGTCAAATGATGTGTCATTTCGTGAATCTAGAAAAATTATTTGATTTAGATACCTGAGTCAAAAGTTATGACTTTTCAAAGTTTTATGGTTCGTAAGTTGACTTTTTATGCCACGTGTCAACACCAGATGAGTCACGCCTAAATTAGATGTGAATGCCTTGTGAATCGCGCCTAACTTAAGCTTGAATGGTCACGTCTAATTTATGTATGAATTACTGCAATATATCCGTAAATAATTTTGAATAATTTCGAACAACTATATATTTATAAATATTTATTAAAATAATAATATCTTAATTTTTGTCCCTTTCATCAGATATATTCTAACCCATAACCGATGTTGACGAGTTTTTTGTGACCAAGCTCTTCCTAAACATTTTGTAAATTGAATCCTTTGATTTTTCTGTTTGGAAATACATGATAAAAGTTGGAATAACTGTAAGACTCCCAGGACATACGACCAATGTGAGAAAGACGTTGAACTCTGAAGTATCCATTTTGAAAAAGATCTGACCACAAAAAATAATAATAACTTTATAATATTTTATATTTAGTGAGCCGCCAAATTTGAAAACAAAAGTGAACGACACTTAACATCACACTCTTAGACGCGTTGTCCCGTTTTTGTCTCAAGTGGGCTAAATTATCTCATCCTTGCTCGTCAAGTCATGTTGCCCTTGCTCATCAAGTCATGTTATTGTCTGCTAGCTAGTAGATATTTTTTTGTAAACACTTGGTTCATAATACAATATTTCTGTGGAGTCATAAAAAGCTATTGCTCTGTAGGTCAACAAAAGTAAGCGGTCAAATTTGACCTTGAGAGCAGCATCTTATCCTTGCACATCAAGTTATGTTATTGCCAATTTTAGAACATTGTAATACTTTATAATAATATTTTTTCTTAAAACATTAAACACTAGAATCTTATTAAAACTTGTGAATATTTTATAAAGGGTCGTCATTAAAATTTATGAATACAATAGTCCAAAAAATGATGTCATATATGACATGTATCTATACTTATAAAAGGAAACAGAGGAACTTCAGGATCATTTGCATCCAAACCAAACATTCTCTCCATCTGCAACTCAACCTCAACTAGCTAAAATGGATTCACTCCTAAATTACCTAAACACCACTGCACTTGCAGTACTCCTTTCAATAATCTTCTTGCTTTTGTGTCTGTATCATCATTCCAAAGTTGCTCATAATAGAGAGGCTCCAACAGTTGCAGGTGCATGGCCAATACTTGGTCACCTTCCATTGTTGAATAGTTCAAAGACACCCCATAGAACATTAGGTGCCTTAGCTGACAAGTATGGACCCTTATTCACCATCAAGCTTGGTGCCAAACCAGCTTTGGTACTCAGCAACTGGGAAATGGCTAAGGAATGTTTCACCACAAACGACATTGCCGTTTCATCTCGTCCAAAACTTGTTGCTGGTGAATGCATGTCTTACAACCAAGCTTTCATTGGTTGGTCACCATATGGACCGTATTGGCGTGAACTACGTAAGATTGTTACTTCTGAGTTTCTATCAAATCGTAGAATCAAGCTATTAAGTCACATTCGTGTCCGAAGTTCAAACTTCGATTAAAGAGCTCTTAAGTGTTTGGTCTACTAGCAGAAAGAATGAGTCTAACTACGTGTTGTTGGAGCTGAAACAGTGGTTTTCTGAGTTAACATTTAACATGGTTCTCCGAATGGTGGTTGGTAAGAGGTATTTTGGTGCTACTGATGTTGCCAACAATGATAAAGCAGAGAGGTTTCTGAAGAATATATGGGAGTTCATGCGTTTGATGGGGACTTTCACTGTGGCAGATGGTGTTCCTTCTTTAAGATGGTTGGATATTGGAGGGTATGAGAAGGCCATGAAAGAAACTGCAAAGGAAATGGACAAAACTTTAAGTGAATGGTTAGAGGAACACAGACAGAAGAGGGTTTTGGGTGAAGAGATTGTAGGTGATCGAGACTTCATGGATGTGATGCTTTCGGTGCTTGATGACACACAGAATATTGAAGGGTTTGATGCTGATACCATATTCAAAGCCTCAACATTGGTATGTATATTGTACTTTGTAGTCCCTTACAAGTTATAAAACAATCATAGATTTTCTTCTCTCTTCTCCATTTTTTTGAACTTCCCACATTAAAATGTACCACTCTTTTTATTTGTTTTTCTAGAGAGGTTATCCATTGAAAATGTAGTCTTTTTAGAGGATATATGATAATCCATAAGAAAGAGGAGTGTTCATGACTTAACTAGATATTAAAATTAGATTTTGTGTATTTGTGGTTTATGATTTAGTCACACCTTAGTGGGGGCTTAACTCAACTTGAGATTATATACTATTTTCTAAGAAACCAGGAAAAGTTATTAATTAGATTCTTAAATTAAACTAATACTCTGTATATAAAAGATTAGAATTTTATATTGATGTGGATTGTTTGAAATATATATTTTAAAAGTTTTTATCACAGTGAAACTCATCTCTGATTAGAATCATTAGGTGGCTAAAAGTGATACTACATGAACTCTAAGTAATAAGTTGGAAGTTGATGAGTTTTGAAAGCAGTTGTGAAAATCAAAATTGTGAACAAATGAGGAAGTTTCTATTATGCCAAGGATTGAATCCAGAATTTCTATTTCTTTTTTATGAGATAGTATTGCAGCATTATTCTTATAAGGGAGTTGAACTTATTTGCAGGAATTGATTGTGGGAGGAACTGACACAACCGCGGTTACCCTTACATGGGCAATGTGTTTGCTATTGAGAAATCCTCTTACATTGGAAAAAGCTAAAGAAGAACTTAACACACATGTTGGGAAAGAGAGATGTGTTAGTGAATCAGATATAAATAAACTAGTATATCTTCAAGCTATAGTTAAAGAGACTCTAAGATTGTATCCACCAGCCACTATCTCATCACCCCGTGAATTCACAGAGAATTGCACTATAGGTGGCTACCATGTTAGAAAGGGAACTCGACTAATGCCAAACCTATGGAAGATCCACAGAGACCCTAGTGTTTGGTCAGATCCATTGGAGTTCAAACCAGAAAGGTTCCTTACCACTCACAAAGAGGTTGATGTTAAGGGTCATC